GAGCGCGCAAACTCAAGCGCGCCATCACGCCAGACCAGACCCCTTCGCGCCAAATGCCATTCCAAAGCTGGGAATCAATGCATTTCCCTCTTCCCCCGCTCCTAATAGACTTTGGTCTACGGTTCATTGACACCTCGTGCCCTGAAATTCTTCCCCTCTCGGTGTACAACCCCGTGGATAAGAGTTGGCTTCTGCTTTCGTGATCCCCCACTCGAGGGCGGGAGGTGCCTGGCGGGAAGCATATCTCTCTTCCGCGAGCATCAATCACATCGTGGACCAGGGGCTTGCTAGGCGGAGTCGTACGGGAGGTGGACTGGTCATCTCCTGCACCGAGCGCCGGGCCAGACTGATCTGTTCCGAACAGAGTTAAGCGAGAAGAGAGGGGGCAGGGCAGAGGGAACTGAGGAGGCGCCGTTTGGGCGTTTGCGCCTCGGACGTGTCTTGCACGTGTTTTGGGACCGTTGGTGCTTTGTCTCTTGTCCTCAGTCGAGGGGCCCAGCACCCGCGGATCGTTCCGGCCGTCAGGAAGAACCTGGGACGAGAGAACTGAGGATAGAGAAAGCAAAGGATATTAGATGATGCCCGATACGCGGCCGCCGTGAACCACCCAAAGACGAAGGGGAGGAACCCGGGCGAAGGGCCCAATCTCCCCCCGTTCCAACAGATGGGGTAGCAGGGCAGTCCCCCGAATTGCCAATGCGTAGTTCCTGAACTCTTTTCGCTCTCTTCCTCGCAGCGGACCTTCACTCAGGTGCTGGTCCCAGCCCGCAGAGAATATCGCAATGCGAAGGCAAACGCGGTCATTGTCGTCGCCAACAACCGCGGCGCATCCCAACGCGCGTCCCTTGCCCTTTGCAGAGGAGGGGCGGCAAACAGCAGGAGAGACCCCAGAGCTGCGAATGGCGCATTAAGCTTACCCATTACCCAACGATTCTGCCATTCCGACGCTTGTTGTTATTGTCTGTCATTGGGAAGATGGGGAAGGGAAAAGAGGGGAACAGCATTGGGCATCTGTTTGCCTCGGTGCAAAAGTGCCATTGCCCTAGGACCTGGGACCTGCGTTGGCGTATCTCTTAGGTCACCGCACGACGAGAGAGTAAGACGACGACAACGCGGATGAACACCAGCAATCGATGAGACTGGACAGCGGGAATGCTCTCAGTCGAAAGCCGCCACGCAAGCGGGACCACGTCAGTGCTCTGTATCTGTCTCCGTCTCTCTCGCTCTCTGCTTCGGTGTCGTGATGTGTCGTGATGAGAAATACGTACTCGCTCTCACTCCAAATACCCGCTGAAAACCACTGCTGGAGCACACACAAACACACACAGACAGCAAGGTCCGAGAATGACATCCCCAATCGGGAGGCGGCCGGCATCCGAACACGCCCATTGGGCGCCCCGAGCTCCCCCCAATCCCGAGGGGGAGCTCTCTTGCTCCTCCTCAGCGATCAGTCTTACTCTCTTCCTCGTCCATCCCTGAAGTCGCACCATGCCTAACCTGGAAACTGGGAACGCTGCCGCCCCCATCTGATAGGTTGCCGGGCTGGCGACTCAGGGAAGAGCTCGTCGTCGAAGGGCAGCTCTCCCGCCCGTTCTACACCTATCCCACGGTGTTAAAGGTTAGCGTAGTACTTGCGGGGCTTCGTTATATGGAAAGCCCCGCAAGAACCGCACTAACCTTTAAGACCGTGGGATAGGTGTACTGCGTGTCTGAACTGTGACTTGCGTGTGTGTGAGAGAGAGAGGGACAGAGATAGGGAGGGGAGCTCCAGGTACAGCAACCGCAGCAGCGACAGGCAGTGTGTCAAATGTCATCGAGCTGCTACCGCCGCCCAGCCGGTCGGGACTTTTGACGCGCCCCCAAAATTCATGCAGCCCTATTACCTCTCCTTTGCGTAGCTTTGGTTGCTGTTTTGCAGCGGCGAACCTGTCGTGTGCCGCCGCCTCTCACAGCTCACCCATTGCCTTCTTTGGAACATTCTCTTGGCCGCTCATTCGCAGGATTCGTCCGCAAATCGTTTTTGATAGCCGGGCCAGATTCCTTCTTCCCTCTCTTGCTTGGTTTTTGATGCATTTGATGACGACAGAGCACTTACGTCTGCCCCCGTCTGCTGTCTTTTCCTACTTTGGCGCAAAGGTCCGCCCAGCAGGGCCCTGATAGCGACTCGCGAGCCATCTCACAGTAAGACGGAGGAATATTACCTCCTCGTCTGCTCGTTCAACCTGCTTTTTTCGGGCAGGACATTGGACCTTTTGGCCCCTTGCTGCATCGTGTCGTGTGTCCCTTTCTTATCGTGCCACGCAAAATACCTGAGTAAAAGCTGCCACGCACTGCGCAAGCCCAGGTACGCAACACACGGCTCCGCGGCAAACGCACACGGCTCGCGAGTCGCAGATACGTCGAGGTTGCAGCAGTAGCTCCGGCGGCAGAGCGAGAAGCACTTCGTTGCCGCAGGGAGTGCCTTATTTTCAGTTTCAGACCGCGTGTCTGAACGTTGGGGTCCCATCACGTCAGGAAAGGGATAAGATTGCACTCTGCGTCTTGTCACCACACCATCATCATTGCCTGCCCTGCCCCAGCGATGCCATCTCATTCATATTTCTTGAGCTGTCTTCCCTCCCCTTCGTTCCTTTGGAGAGTCCCTCCTGGATCAAGGGACTGACTCGTACCTGTTCTGTACTACATCCCATTCTTGAGAGAGCATCGGAGCGCCACAGCCAAGCCCTCGGAACCGTTACACCGCAGCCAAGATGCATCGCCGCGCCGAGCAATCCGACGACTTCAACGGGGACCACGAACCCGCCACGCCGTCTAGGTACTCCGTAGACGAGGAGCCCACCGAGTCGACGCCCCTCATCGCCGCTGATGGCAGCCCACGCCGTCCCGGCGCCGGCCGTGGCCGCACCGACTCCCTCATCCGCGCCGCCAACACCATCCACGTCCCCAAGGTACACGACCCGAACGTCATCGTCGGCATCTTCTGCGCCATCATTCTCCTCGGCTCTGCCGCAGGCGGGCTGTGGACTATCCCCACCACCCGCAAGGTCGAGGACATTGTCTGCCGCCACTACTACGATGTCCTGAGCAACGAAAACATTGACGAGAGCCTCTGCAAGGAGGACGCCATTCAGTCCAAGGTCGCATACATCTTTGCGGTGTACAGCGCTCTCCAGGCCTCCATCGGCGCCATCTGTGCATTCCCCTGGGGTATCGTTGCTGATCGCCTCGGCCGCAAGATGGTCTTCTCTCTGACCATCTTCGGCATGGCACTGGATCAGGCCTGGTTTGCCACGGTCTGCGCGTTTCCCCGGGTGATTCCCCTGGAGGCCCTCTGGTTTGGCCCTTCGATGCTCATGATTGGCGGTGGAAATGCGGTTCTGAGCGCCATCGTGCTTTCAATGCTCGCCGACGTGACAACTTCCGAGAACAGGTTTGTCTTCGAGTCTTGCTCCGTCGACTGTCGAGAGAAGCTAACACTTGTACTAGGGCAAAGAGCTTCATGCAGGTTCACCTGGTGTCGATGATTGGGAACCTGTGCGCCCCCGCCATCGCGGGCTGGATGATGGAGAAGACCGGCCCTTGGCCCGTCATGGGGCTCGCATTTGGCCTCTTCTCGACCTTGATATTCACCATCCACCTCATTCCTGAGACCAAGCCAGCTGCCCAGGTATCCGACGACCCGATTGAGGACGAGCCCGAGGTTGAGTCTCCCGCGCTTGGGGCCATTCAACACACGATTCTCCGCCTCAAGGAGTCTTTGGCGCTGTTCAAGTCGCCGTCCCTCATACTTCTTCTTGTAGCGATGCTCACCTCTTACCCCGTCATGCTGTCGACGCTGCAGTTCATGTCCATCTTCGCCTCGAAGCGATACCACGTCTCGCTGTCGCAGACAGGCTACCTGTCGTCCCTTTATGGCACGGGCGTCTTGCTTTCGATCGTGCTCATCCTGCCGGCCTTCTCGAGGCTCCTCGCATCCACCAAGATGCCCAAGTCGCTGCGCCTGTCGGACGACCACCAACGCGACCTCTTCCTGGCCCGCCTGTCCTCCGTAGCGCTGTTGATCGGTTCCCTGAGCATGTCCGCATCGCCAACGGTCGGGTCCTTTATCGGTGGCCTCGCCATCCTGTCGCTGGGCACCGGTTGGGGCAGCTACGTGAAGAGCGTCAGCAACGTCTACGTCGACGCGGCGCATCGCACCCGGCTGTTTTCCATCATCTCGCTGGTTGAGACTGCAGGACAGACGTACGCGCAGCCGCTGCTCGCAGGCCTGTTCAGCCTGGGCATGAAGATGGGAGGGCTCTGGATCGGCTTGCCCTACTTGGGTGTCGCAGCCTTCTGCTTGATCGCGCTAACATTGTTGCTCATTGTTAGATTGCCGCCGCCCGAGGGCAAGGTCCCGGAGGACGGTGGCGAAAGCAATGTGCCCGCCCAACACTAAACGCTCACAGATTTTCCTTTGTTGTCCTTTGTTTGTAATAACACTGAACGAGCGATTTCCTTGTTTGTTCCGATACCATCCACGCTTAGAGAGAGAGACTCTGTTGTCCTAGAAAGAAGATGAATAAAGTAGACCTTCGCAAGTGTAATCGTGGCCCGAGATGCAGCTTACCATATGACGGCTACTCGTCCCCGTTTCCTTGGTAAAAGTACCATTCTGTACGTCACGTTCAGTTCGATCGCAAGGAAGCCATTGGGTGCGCCTGGAGCAGATGGGACTCCAGGAAGGCTAAAGCGATTTAGCTGTGGTGTCCGCTGTTACCCTTGCTCCTCCCCTGTAAAACACCGAGTTAGCGACCCATTTCCAGCCATTTCAGGGGACGAAGTCCGGCATGATGCTTTTCTGTGCCTCCTGCGCCGTGGACCCGCTTCGCCCGGCGCCTTCGCTACTTAAGGATTGGTGTGGTCCTCGTCTTGGTCGAAAAGACGAGCGCAGCGAGGTTGCTGTCGTCTGTAACCGTTCACACAATCGAAGAAGCCTCGACAGACATGTGCGTGGGAGGATGGCGGACGCAGTCGACGTTAGCAGTACCGCGGGCCATCTGGAGGCTGCCGTCCAGCTCAGCGCTGCGGTGAGCCGGCAGATTGACGCCATCTCGGACGCGCCGCGAGTGCTCACGACCCTCTCGGCTGATCTGCAAGAAGTGCTGTCGATCCTCGAGACATTGCTTTACTACCTCAGCAACGACGACACGGCTAAAGGAGTTCTGCATCCGTCCACGGCTCGGGACCTGGATACGGTCCTCAAGAAATACGCCAAAAGCCTGTGTCTGCTGGAGGAGAAGCTGGAAAAGGCCACCGAGGGCCGTTCCGGGGGCAAGCTGGGCTTGTGGAAGAGGACGATGCTGACGCTGCAAGCCAAGGAATTCACCGACGTGAGAGAACAGCTTGCGACGCAGAAGATCATGCTGAATATCAGTGTGGCAGTATCTAATTTGTAGGTGTTCCCAAAAACCCAGAAGGAGTCGGACGCTTTCGCATGGACGTGCCTAACAATTCCTCTGCAGTATTAATACGACATACGAAGCGACACCTGAGAATCGGAAGGAGCTCGTCAAGATGAAGACGGACGTCGCCAAGGTGCTCCTGAAGCTGGACCACAGCCAGCGGCGGCAATCCCATCGGAGATGTCCATCGCTGCGATCTCGTCGAACAAACTGAGGCTTGTCCGTGGCTACGGTAGCGGAAGGAAAAACGACGAGGTTGATGACGATCTTCAGTGTCCGTGACCGTCCACTCTCCCCGGATCGACGATACCCCCCGGCCGGCCTGAGACAGTGTCGTCGGACAACTTCACCACGAATTGTGTGTCTCTCTTCATGTGGCTTCAATGCCTCGATTCCCTGCGAAACCCTGATGCAGCAAATTCGGTCGAATCAGCCGCAACGAAAACAATAACCAATAGTAACAAAAATACAAAAGACCCTTTTGTCGGTGGAGGAAGGGTCCAGGCACCAGGCAAAGCGCCGGTGGTTCGCATTGTGGCCCAAGACAAGGGGCCCTTGAGGCAGCCGGGATGGATTCGGATTGTGAGATGGCGACGCGGAGGATGCGAGGGGATCTGCGACCACCAAGACAAGGGAAGCGGGTGGCTTGAGTGGGGCACAGCCACCAGCGGCAACGCAAACACGGCCGCTCAGAGGCCGCTGGAGAGCACCCGTCAGCCAGTCGTCCAGCGGCTTCAGGGATCTTCCTCAGCGGGTGGCCGTTTCAGACGAAAAGCTGCAGCGCTTACTGGTACGTCATACCCGCTGAACCTCGCCGCCGTGGGGTCCAGTCAGAAAAGGGGCAGCCCACCCTCACCATACACGTTAATGCGCCGCGCCTCACGCACGAATGCCTTTTCTTCCATCATATTAGACACCATTTCGCTCCCTGGTGGCACGCGAAACAGGGCCGTCAGTCTTTCATTGAAGCAATAAGTCAATCAAACAAACAAACCGAAGCGTCGATAATGGAGCCATGATTTACGGAGACTTGGAATTAAACACTGCGCCTGCATTTGCGAGTCGTTAATCAGAGTGTCCCGTACCGCACCTTGAATCCCGTCCATCTCCGAGTTTCCCAAACACCGCCCGCCGAAAATCCCGTCTCGAATTCGATACCCAGCTTCATTTCTTTCTAGACGCGAGTCCTGCACTCGCACTTCGCCGAAATGTCCTTCTTCAGCCCCCCGAACTGTTCTGTCGACCCCGCCACCATCTCCGTCGCTGGCAATGCCGGTATCGCTGGAGTGGCCGTCTTGCTCTCCTTCACCATCGCCGCCACCATCGCCCTTCTCCTCAGCTGGTCCATCGTCTTGTTCGAGCGGAAGGAACGTCCCTCCAGCATCCGCCGCAAGCTTCTGAACGGTTACTCCGATACGCAAATCCTCCAGGGCATCGCCATCTCCATCCTCGGGCTCGCCACCACAAATCGCATCGTCCCCTACCACTTCTTCATCATCTGGTGTCTCTCCAACATGAGCATGGCCGTCCACAACGCTACACTCTTGATCTACGGACAACTTCTCCGCCAAGACTGGCTCCTCCGCACTCTCCGACAGAGCCTCATGACCGTCAACCTGGCGCTCAACTGCACATATGGCGGCGTCATCCTGCAGAGCCTGGGCAAGGGCATGAAGGAGTCCAAGCTGCCCGTCGGCTGTGTATGGTCCTCCGTCAACGGAACCACCGGCGGGGGCTCGTTCATCGACTACGCGGGTACGATCGCCGTCATCGTCGCAAACGTCCTCGTCTTCCTGGGCGCTAGCTGGTACATCCACTCGCGGGGAAAGCGCTTTGCCAGGCCGATGATCATGGGCGGCCTGGCCCTCATGACGGCGTCGGCGATCGGTGCCGCCGTGCGCTCCTTCATGGCCTCGTCCGTCTTTGGGTCCGGCCCCCAGGGCTACAAGCTCGCTGACAACAGCGAGGAGAGGTGGGAATTCGGGCAGTTCCTGTCTATCCTGGTGTTGCTGTTCCCGGTAGTCAACTTGTTGGAAATCTGGCGGGGCGAGATCATGGTCGCAGAGCCCGTCTGCGAAGATGCCGAGGACCAAGAGAAGATGCTTTAATTCAATTTTTTTCCCTGTTCGCATGTAGATACTTCGGAGGGTGACTGGCCTGGCTTCATCGTGACAACGGCCTCGGGAGATTGTACTAATCGAACAACTCTGGTCACGTTCCTGCTCTCTGGAGAGCAAGGCCCGCGCCTTCTTCAGGTCCAAAACGACTCGAATGTTCACGGCCCCTACCTTACCCACGCAGTACCACGTTGCAAACATTCAAGGGTTATGTTTTGATCTAATAGTTACGCCACAGCATGTGATGTAGAAGTGCCGGCATCACTCGAGTGCTTTTTGAATCAAAATGCCATGGCTTGTACCGGTCTCGTCTTCTTACGGGACGTTGCGCCAAGGAGCCTGATCCGACGCACTCAAGCCACCAACTACTTATGCCACCTTCAACCTCCCTACGTTCCTTGTATCAAGCCACAAGCAGTTCAAGTTCCAGAAACCTGGGGCAGGGTGCATTCTTAATGACCAAGTCGCCTCGGGAATGGCAATCGAGGCCATGAAAGAACGAATTGGGAGCCAACCTGAGGTGCTCATTCTGAGACGTGCCTCCTGTGGTTGGGAAGAGTGGCGCTTGATCGCCAAGAAGGCGCCAAGTTCCAGAGTCTGATCTGTCAGATTGCAGGGGTTAAATTAGCGTGTTAGATTGCAGGGGTTAAATTAGCGCCTCTTAGCTACTAGGGGAGGACTAAATAAATAGATAATCCACCTAGTGAGAACAGTAAGTTTTATGAAACCTATACGTAGAGTTTTACTAGTTCTCAGGGATATATATATAATATATATTTAAGTTAATTTATTAATTAATAATCTAATTTATATTAACTAATATACTACTAAGCTATATATAGTACTAAAGAATAGCTAATAAGTATATAATAATACCTCTAAATAGTAAAAAGATCCCTCTAAAAAGTATAGAGGATTAAGTATTTTAAATTAATTAAGTCTAAATCTTCTATTATTCCTATTAGTTATAGTATATTATAAACCTTAAGAAGTTCTCTAAGAGTACTACTTAGGTTTATAAGTTAGCTTTTTAAAGACTTATAGTACCTCTAAGACTCCTATATACTTCTAATTACTTACTTTAAAAGTTTTTAACTATAATAATCCTCTTTAAAAATAATAAAGAGATACTTTAAGTATAAAAACTTAAAGATCTCTCTTAAATAAACTATACTCTCTATAGTAAACTAAGAATAAATTATAGTTTCCTTAAAAAGGAATAAGATAGTATAATAAAAGGTATATAAGAGATCTAATAATTTATTAGGGAGTTAATATTTATAAAGCTTTTAAAATACTACTATATTATTAATATAGATCTTAATAAATAACTTTATAAACTTAAGATTTATATTAACTATAGTAAAAGAGAGTATAAAATTTATATAATCTCTAAATATATTATAATAATTATAGCTTTTAGTTAAAAATATCTCTTAATAAAGAAAGATATAAAAGTATAAATCTCTTATTAAGAAAATATAATCTATAAAGACTAGAACTATAAAGTTCTAAATAATTTAAACTCTTTAATTTAGTTTCCTAAATATATTAATATACTTACTTAAAGTTACTTTAATATATAGATATCTACTTACTATATAACTAAGCTTTTTTTAGTAATTTAATATAACCTTATAGTTAGTAAAATTATCTCTAATATATAAATATATCTTATATACTTTAAAACTACTCTATAGAAGTCTAAAATAAGTAGAGATATATTTAGCTTTATAATCTATAATAAAGAACTTTAATTAAGTAAAATTAAACTATTTAATAAATTAACTAATTATAGAATAAGTTATAAGAGAAACCCTTAAAAAGAATAAAACTTAAAGTAACTCTTAGTAATAATAAGAACTTATTAAAAGTAAGAAGAATCTCTTTTAGATACTTAAAAAATAGAGAAACTATATTATAAGTTATACTATAATATATATAAGTTCTCTAAGTATTTCTATATTAATATAATAATCTAACTAAAATTATAAATCCCCTAAATAGTTATTTAATATATCTTTAATAGAAGAATAGAGAATAATAAAAACTTTATAAAGTAAATCTATAAAACTATAAAGTCCTCCTTAAAATTAGTATAATTCTATAGAAGTACTAGAGGATATACTAAAGTAGTATTTATAGTATTAGAAAAATACTCTTTTATAAGATCTATAATACTAAACTTAAGCTTTATAATATATATATTTAATTATATAAAATAGTTTACTACTTTATAAAATACTTTAATAGGAGATTTTCTATAAATTAAGATATATAAAATATTTATTAAGGTATATAGTATAGCTAAAATCTTAGTAAGAAGAGTAAATAGTATAATAAAGCTATAATTATTTAATATAACTTTATATCCTAAACTTATAAATAACCTAATATCTCTTTAAAAGTTATACTAGAGAGAGATATAATAGAATATAAGCTTAAGTAATAACTACTTATAGAGATCTAATTATATATTCTTATACTTACTTAAGAGTATTAATAATTAGTATATTCTTAATTATAAACCTCTAAGTAAAATAACTCTTATTATAATTATACCTCTATTAGCCTCTATATAAGATAAAGTTTTAAAACTAAAAAGAAAATATAACTATATAACTTTAATATATTATAAACTTATTAAGAGATTAGTAAAGCTTTAGTATTAGAAACTTAAATACTTAAAGCTAGAAGCCTTCTAATATCTATCTAACCTTATAAGAAGGGTCTAAATAATAAATAAATACTTAAAAATTTTAACTATTAATTATAATATATATAGATAAAGGAAGTTATTATTATATATAGGCATAGGTAAAAAGATATAATATTGCGATACCTCTTCTAAAGGATTCCTAGGAGATTTCTCTGAGGAATACTCTAAGTATTTCCTAGGGAAATCTTAGGGAAATCTTAGGGAATTCCACGCTTAATCCCCTCTAGGAAATTATAAGGAAATCCTAAACTATAGTATAATAATTACCCCTCTATAAAAAGAGTAAGTTTTATCTATAAACCTTAACACTAGTAAGCTATTCTAATAGGGGGAAATTATAGTAAAATTATAGAAAAACAGTAGTAATAGTAACTATAT